GATATTATGTCTAGCATTGATAGCATTATAAATAATATTCCAAAACCATTCATAATTTTGGGCGACTTAAATTCTCATCATGGGGTTGTTCTCTAAATAAAAATTATGGAGAAACGCTTTTAGACATAATTGATAAACATAATCTTTATATTTTGAATACTGGTGTCTCAACGGACAAAACCTGAACAAAATATAGTGATATAGATATTTCTATTTGCACTTCCGGTCTAGCGCTTAAGTTATCCTGGGAAACTCTTCCTTCAACATATGGAAGTGATCATTCCCTATATTAATTTCATCATCCTCTAGACTTCCTATATCTAATAAGCCCAAATCAAAGTTGAAGTACCGAACTAATAATGCTGATTGAAAACGTTTTAAATATTTAGTTGAACAGAAAATAAATTTATTGACAGATATACAACTGGGTAATGAACAGGTTGCTTCGATAGCTCTGACAAAAGCGTTAACAGAAGCAGCAGATCAGGTGTTTCCTATTAAACACAATAACCTTAAAGGAATACCATCACCACCATGGTGGGATAATGAGTGCAATATTGCTACAAAGAAAATAAAATATGTAGAAAAATAGTAATTCAATGACCAATAAAAATTATTGAAATCTTATTAACATTTCTAAGGAAACAAAAAATTGTTAAGAAATAAAAAATTGGATGGATGGAAAAACTTCTCTCTGTCCAAAGACCTTAATACTAAAAGTCATATAATATGGAACAATATAAAACGGTTTAGATCAGCTATAACAAATCCCACAAATAAATATATTCCCTTTTCTTGATCAGAACAGTTCCTTGACAATCTTCCACCTCCTTATGTACCACAACAAATTAATTTATCTAACTGCATTGATATTCATGATAACATGCATGAAAATATAAATGAACCATTTTCCCTTTTGGAATTAAAATGTGTACTATCTAGAATTAAAGACTCTACACCTAGATAAGATAGCATACCATACTCTTTTCAGTCAATTTATTAGACATATCACTGATATATTATTTAAATCTGATTAACTCCATTGTACTTCCTGTAATATTCCCATAAAATGGAAAACTCAGTTAATCTTACCAATATTGAAACCTGGTAAACCTTCATCAGATGCATCATCATATCGGGCTATTATTTTATCTTCAGTCTTTGGAAAGATTGAGAATTTAGTTAAAAATATATTAGAGTTATTTGTTGAAAGTAATAATTTATTATCCCTCAATCGGTATGGTTTTCGAAAAGAAAAATGCACTCTAACAAAATGGATGTAGTGGACTCTAACAAAATACAAAGAACGACCTGGAGAGAATCACCTCAAGGTTCTGCACTCAGCCCACTTGTGTATAACATTTATACTGCAGATTTAGAAACAGCTCTTGGTAGTACAGTCAAAGTGCTTCAGGATGTCGATAACATGTTGATATATTCTACAAGCATTGCAGCTAAAGTTGCAGCTTCTCATTTAAATATGGCACTGGAGTCGTTTAAAATTTGGCTAGATAAAAATGGATTTGAAATATCTATCCCTAAAAGCTCTGTAGTTCTGTTTCCGCATACGAATTCCTCCTAATATCGGTGTTCGTTTAATTTAAACCAAGTTTAAAACCAAGTTAAATTTTTAGGACTAATATTAGATGAAAAGTTAACAAGTTTACCGCACTGTGAGTTCTTACTGGCAAAAGTACTAAGAGAAGCGGAATACATAGCCGTAACTACGGATGCCTGGACTTCTTCATTTCACCATCATATGTTACCGTCACAGCTCATTTTGTTGTAAATAGTAATATTAATTCAGTGATGCTTAAATGCATCCCAGCTGCACAGCGTCATACCGCACAAAATTTAGCTGAATAAATAAAAAAAAGTATGCACAGACTGAGGTGTCGATGACAAAATAGTGTCCGTTACTACCGACAATGCTAATAAAATTCAAGCTGCCATTGCGTTACTCAAATGGAAGAAAGTGCCGTGTTTTGCACACACGTTGAACTTAAGTGTCCAAGGGGGGTTAATTGAGATAAAATACACTCAAATGAAGGTTAAAGCTATTGTAGAAAGTTTTCGGAGAAGCGGTCTGGCAAGTGAGCGACTTACAGCCACACAGAGGCAGCTGGGAGAAAAACCACTAAAAGTAAAATAAGATGTCATAACTAGATGGAACTCAATATATGACATGTTTGAGAGGATTTAGGAAATCAAAAGTGCCACTGCCTATTGCCACTGATTATCCCAGAACGCCTAATTTGACCCACGATGATTTGCAGATTTTGATTAAAAGCTGCGAACTGTTAAAGTATTTTAAATCAGTCACAGAAATCATGAGTGGAGAAAAGCACGTGACGGTTTCTCAGATAAGTCTTAGCAAATTGACTAAAAAAAAAAATTGAGAGGTTTTTATCCTGCAAGAGTCGGACAATATTCCTCAAAACGTAATGAATATGGCCATGCGGTTCCTGGCAGATTTAACCACATAATTTAGAAATGTGGAGGACAATAAATTGCTTGCTGTATGTACTCTATTGGATCTTAAATTTAAGACGTACGAGTTCCCCGACGATAAAAAATCTAGTGTTGACAACGCAAATAAAATATTTTTCTTTTTTTTATTGCCTTTGTACATAGCATCTGCCCACAGCAATGATGCTAGATGACGACCACGACCGCTCTGATAAGAGCGATACGACATACGAATACGAATAGCAGCAATATACCTTGAATCTAATTATCCTTAAAGCGACGCTTTCAGCGTGATTTAGTTTTCAAGCAACGTTATTTAGACTTCAAGCATGAATCCCTAAAGCTAGGACACATGACTGAGGAAGGTAAAGTTCGCAATGTTTTCCGCGATAATCCCAATGATCCCCTCGAAAGTTTATTGCTTAAATATGGTAACTTATAGAACAGCATCAGCGCCTTACTTAGTCACAAAATGCCTGACCAGTCTAGCTTCATCAGCTGTAAGTGAAGACGTCAAATGTGCAATCATTCACGACTTTTACGTTGACGGAGTCGAAACTTTTGATGTCAAGAAAAAGCGCGGCAAAATTCGAACTAAAAGGGCGCTTTCTTAAAAGTTTAATTGAAAATAATTCAAATTGTTATTATTGAGAGTTTTATTCACATATAAATTGGTGTGTGGTTGTTGCCGCGATGTCCCGCGGTAAAAAAAGGCGTAAGAAAAAGGAAGATGTCGAGGGAGACTCCGAGGAAAGCGCTGCGGTGCGGAACTCGAAGTTGGACTCCATTATCTCTGAATAAGACGCTGTTAAGTATCTTCCGTTTAAATTATCTGATTATGACCGTTTCTATCCTGAAAATGGTGGTAAATTTGAATATATTGTCTTCCTGAAAAGCATTGACAAAGATAAACCAATAGGCCCGAGAGATATAATGTCTGTCGCCAACGCAATCAAACGTTACAATAAAGGCGTGAAACAGTTAAAAATAATTAACAAAGCTAAAGTAGGAGTGATATTTGAGAGACCAGCTTTGGCTAATGCAGCTTTAAATAATAAAAAGTCCCTGGATGGCCACAAACTCTATGCTATCATACCAGCTGCCGCAACAGAAACAACTGCCGTTATTAGTCACGTGCCGATAGATCTTTCAAGCAAGGAGATATATGCAAGGAGATATATAGTGCCTTGACCAGCACAAAAAATACAGTCTCGATCAGATGCCTCATGCGTAGGACTACCGAGAATAGCACTATAAAATTTGAACCTACAAAAACTGTGTCCATCACCTTTTCTTGCCCAATCTTACCAGAGAGTGTTGACCTTAATAGTTGGAGATTTGAAGTTCGAGCGTACATACCTCCAGTAAAACAGTGCCTCCGTTGCTTGAGATAAGGTCACATTGCCAAATTTTGTAAAAAAGCTGAAAGGTGCTCCATCTGTGGAGAAGGTCACAACTTTAAATCTTGCAATGTCAACCCCAAAGAGGCCTCTTGTTGCCATTGTAAAGGCAACCACATTTCAATATCTTCTATTTGCCCTGTCAAAAAAGAAAAAATCAGCTAAATCACGTTGGCATTTACCAAGCGATGGCAGGCAGCCCTTGCCTCTCAAGGGATGGCTGACACAGTTGCTGGAACAGCATGGAACAATATAAACGGCCTTGCAACAGTGTTCCATCGGATAATCTCTGGGAGAGGAGACCTCCGCATGGAGATCGTGGACCGCCTACTGCAGGTAGAAAAAACGGGGGTTGAGGGAGCGATCTTCAATCCAATAAAGTTAGTATGGGAGTATTCATCGCTGCTAAAAGCGATTCAATATATGGAGGCTTTCATCAAGTTTCACTGCCGAGCCTTAGTAATCCTCGCGGAGTTAGACCAGGCGATAATGCTGAGGGAGAAATGGGCGGCGGCCTCCTCCTCAGACCCACAGCTAGCTTATAGTCGTGTAAGGGACCCAAATTGTCATCAAGAATTGACACAGTCGCACTACCCGGATCTCTACTACGCGGCAATCATACATGCGAAGGTAGATAAGATAATAGGAGAAAACTTTCAAATGTCCGCTTCGCATGTGTCCACCCATGTAGCATTCATTGACAAGTACATTCGCAAGACAGCATCTGCTGAACTAGGAGAACCCTCGGAGGATACCAGAGCCAAGCTACTTAGTTTGGGATATCCGGTGCGTGATTGGTCATAACAACCACCTCCATTTGACCAAAATCGTGCTAAACCCAACCGCAAGCCTAGCGCTAGGTCTCAGGGTTTCAAGAAGGCAGAAGATAAGAAGAGCAGTCAGTCTGAGAAGGTTAATACCTCAGCCCTCAAACTAGGGATGGCGATCTCAAATCGATTAATCGAAGAATCGATTTCTCGGACCAAATAAATCGATTTTTTAAATCGATATGTCGTACTGAATCGATTCAGTGAATCGATATTTTACCCTTGAAAATCGACATTCGATTTTTTGTTTTGGTAAAAAAAAAAAAAAAAATTTAGAATTATCTGAATGTACTCACAATATTACGGCATTGCCAGTTAAATGTTTAATTACTTAAAAACTCGCGAGATGGCGGTATGTTTAGTTTTCGTCGCTTCTCTTTAGTAAAAAAAAGTTACGTTGGTAATCTTTGACTTTGTTGATTGATATTGCGTCATTGTTTTGTCTTGTTATTATTCATTCATTTGTTTATATATATGCCTTGATTGGCTGATTGTTGTAATATACATACTGTGATTAGGGAAATAAATATTTATTTCTATGTAGTGTTTGTTACGGAATAATAATCAATTGAGAGTAAGTAAAACGCTTTTTATTTTTTACTTTGATGCTATTTTTTTAAGTTTGTTCTATTAGTTGCTATTATTAAATCTAATCGTGTATCTAAGTCATTTAAATTAGTTTACATATAAATAATCAATTATGAGCATTGAAATAACTAGGTGGAATTCTTAATTAATAAAGTGTTCATATTTTAATATTACTTGGTGTCCATTCATCTGTATAACCTCAAATTGTTTATTTTGTTTACATAAAAAATAATAAAGCTCTCTTTTTTTTTTTTAATCAACTGCCGATTTTACTCCAATTTTACCTTAATTAAGTGAAATCAGTTTAAGCAGAAAGAAACCTTTTTTTTTTTTTTTTTTTTCGGGTAGAGGGCCGAACCTCCTACGAGGTCCCCGCGCAAATGGGGCGCGCGGGGTACGTGAGACTCAACGATCTGCATGGTGTTGTGAGCAGACCGCGGGCCCAAGGATTTTAGAGCCCACCCACTAAACGACTCCTCTGCACTCTTACACCCGACGTCCGATCCCCTCCGAGGTCAGAACCCGGATGAGGTAGGGGGGCTACCGCGGTCAACACTACAACCAGACGGCGCGGCTCACCCCAAGGACGCCCAGCCGACGGAGCCTTCGAGGCGAATCGAAGGCTCTGAAACGTCGGCCGTCTCGGTACGGCAGCCCGTCGGGCCGCCCAGACGGTGCCGCTGGTGTCCCGGAATACCCCGCTGGACCAGAACCAGCCTGCCGGGTCGGGACGCGATACACCGTCGACCGGTCGCTCTATTCACTCCACGGCAGCGCGCTAGAGTGCTGGTAGCGCGCCGCGCGGCCTCACCCCCTCAGGTCGCCCCTTGACCTTCACCGGGGGGAGGCCGCCACCTACAGGGGCCGGGACGTACGGGCGTATTCCCGCCTCCGGCCCCCGGCTCGACGGCGACGGATCGGTGCGGAAAGGGAAGAGCTCTCCCTCTCTCGCTCCGCCGCCTCCTTCTGCGAGATGGTGGACTCGCAGAAGTCGAGCATCGCCTTCCAGGACGCGTCGCTGCCGAGCATCGTAGCCACGACGCGCGGCAGCGAGAGGTCCTCTCCTATGACCGCGACGAGGGCGGCGCGTTGCTCGTCGAATCCAGAGCAACGCGCCAATGTGTGTTCCGCTGTGTCTTCCTCGTCGCGGTCCGCGCAGTGGTGGCACTGCGCCGTCGGTTCCCTTCCGGCTATCTTGTGCAAGTACCGGCCGAAACAACCATGGCCGGTAAGCATCTGCGTTAGCCGGAAGGTGAGGCATCCGCGGTCGCGGCCCACCCAGTCCGCGAGAACCGGGCGGACCGCCTCGACGGTTCGGAGGCCGGCCGACGGGTCCGCCAAGCGGCGAGACCACGCCTCCAGCACGGACCGCCGAGATTGGAGCCTCCGCGCTCGAACTACTCCTTCGCCGGGGCGCCCTTCCCCCCTAGAGCGGAGGTCGCTACGCCACCGGTAATCGGCAGCGAGCGCCTCCGCCTCCAGGTCCCAGGGTGGCGCCCCGGCGAGCAAGCACGCCGCCTCGAAGGAGACGGTGCGGTATCCTCGGATCGCCCTGACCGCGATCGCGCGCTGCGGACGTCGCAGCGCGGCGACGTTCTGGCGGGTCAGGGCGTGGCACCATACGGGCGCGCCGTATAGTGCCATCGACCGCACCACCCCCATGTAGAGGCGGCGCGCCACCTGATCGGGACCCCCGACGTTTGGAAGCAGCCGGCTCAAAGAGCCGGCCGTCGCCATCAGTCGAGGGCCCAACTTCGCAAAGTGAGCGCGGAAGTTCCACCGACCATCCAGTTCAAGGCCGAGGTACCGAAGACCGGTCACCCCGACCCCGACGCGGACGCCTCCGATCACGAGGTGAGCAGAAAGAAACCTGCGTGCCGTAAATGTTAATTTTTTATGCATGAAATGTTAAACTATTTTTTTTATATTGAAAGAATTGATGCTGACAGGATTTTAACTTTACTTTGAATATTACTTGAAGATAGTAACTACTTGCTAAAAATTTTGTTGTTTAACAAGTTTAATGAGGAACAAATTTTTTTTTAGCATGTCGGGTAAAAGTGATATATGGAATCATTTCATAAAAAAAGACTTAGGAGCCTTAGGAGGCACATGCAAATATTGTCACCAGGAAGTAAAAACTAAGGGAAACACAACAAACTTGCGTAATCATTTATTAAGACGCCATCCAACAATTAAGACCGTAAGTCTCAAAAAGAAGAGTGAAAGTGGTGGTGGTAAATGTGATAATGCACAAAATGGTGATGGAAATGAACAAGTCAGTGAAACCTGTATTCTTTATGACACATTCTTTGTTTTCCAATGTACTGAGTTTGAAAAAAATAAAAATCAATGTTCAATAAATCAAAATAACTATGTTTTCTTTTTTTAGGTCGATGATACGACGTTAGATATTGTGCCAGTTCCAGATTTGCAAAATGTTGATAATTCGGATACTGAAAGTGTGGCTTCTTCTACTGCCTCTACATCAGTCTTAAAACAGCAAACATTGACTTCTTGCTTAACAAATATAAAATCATTCGGAGGTAAGGCATGAAATCGAAATATTTTTTGAATTCATTTTCAAGAAAGTGAGATGCGTACAAGATCGATAATTAGGATTTTTTAATTAATTTTCAGATAATGGTGTTAAGCGTGGTCAAATAACCAATGAAATAGTCTTCATGATAGCAAAAGATGGCTTACCTCTGAATACTGTGGAAAAAACAGGATTTAATTATTTAATGAAAGTAGTAGCACCACTATATAAAGTTCCAGCCAGAACAACAATCACTCACATGATTGACGATAAATATGACATTCTTTCGACACAACTTAAATTAAAAATACAAGAAGTAGAAGCACTGTCTTTAACTGCAGATGTTTGGACCGACTCGCATAATAGTCAAAGCTATTTAGTCTTAACTGGTCATTGTATATATGAAAATAAATGAATGAGCATAACTTTTGGTGTAACTGCTCTAACAAAACCACATAATGCCGACTACTTAGCAGAAGTAATTACCAAAATGACAGAAAAATGGGGCATTACAAGTAATAAAGTGGTAGCGTTTATCACGGACAATGGCGCAAATATCGTTAAAGCTGTCACAAATGTTTATGGCAAAAATAAACACATGCCATGTTTTGCCCATACATTAAACTTAGTAGCATCAAAACCATTTGACAATAAGGATGGACTGGAAGAAGCCAAGAATTTACTAACAGCTGTCAAAGATATTACTACATATTTTAAGCATAATACAAATGCTGCAGACGCTTTAAAGAAAGCTCAAGATCTCCGAACAAAGCCTTTGGGGCTGATTCAGTCTGTATGTACCCGATGGAATTCTGTTTTTTATCAATTGGAACGATTTGTTGAGTTATCTGAAATTATTACGCCAATATTACTCAAGTATCCTAAAGCACCGACAATGCTAACTGCACAGCAGTTAGAATTTATAAAAGATCTTATAAATATATTGAGACAATTAGAAGTAATAACTAAAGAAATATCGGGAGAAGACTATGTTACAGCCAGTAAAATTATACCAATCGTATCTTGTCTGACTGGAACATATAATACGATGAAAACTTCAACTGACATTGGAGCTAAATCAAGAACTTTAATTATGGACGGTTTAAAGAAAAGATTTGGAAATATTGAACAAGTTCATTTGTTAGCTGCTGCGACAATTTTAGATCCTAGATTTAAAAAAATTCATTTTACTGACCATGTAGCCTGTTCTCGAGCAATAAATAGAATAAATACTTCAATTTTAGATATTCAATCACAGCAACAACTTCCACAAAATAATAGTGAGGAATTCGACGCAATAGAAGAGACTGATTTAGAAAAAGGAATTTGGGATTTTCATAAGTTGCTTGTCAAAAAGCAACTCTCTACATGTAATACACTTGCACTGGAAAGTCAAGGCTTAAACGAAGAGTTTAAACACTATTTATCACAGGCAGTTGTGCACCTAAAGTATGATCCTTTATTGGCAAGAACAAAAAAACTATTTATCACCATGTTCACTCAATAGCCGTGATGTACCTAGTCAGGTCATAAATTCTGTCACATGTTTAATGTAAAATAATTGAAACAAGTTTATTCATTATGTAACCATTCATATACCAAAATGAACTTAACAAAACATAGATTCTTATGACACTAAAGTTTATTCAAAATGACTTCCGTGATTTTGAATACAGGCCTTCAATCTGCGCGGCCAGTCGTCTATCGCAGCACNGTTTACCACTTTCACTTTTCACACACGTTTCTTGTAATCACCTCAATCTACAGGTTGCCGAAGTAGCTCGCCAAAATGTACAAAATATACTCGGTACAAGAACTGATCTTCGTGAAGTCTTACCAGATTATCAGTGTCTGCCGAAGACGATAACTGATTATATATCGTATGCCGGCAATGTTCTAACGCAAACGGGAGTTGATCTAAAACTTAACCTCCCTCAGCTCGCTATACCACAGGGTCCAATTGACGATGTACCATCTGGAACCTTCGGTCCGATTAACGCGACGACTCATAACGTATATGAAGCGTACATTTGTCCTCTGGTCACGGCAAATCGCGTAATCGCCAGCCAACAGAATAATTCTGGCTATCAACCACTACCTCAACAATGAATCCCAGCTAATCTGACTCCAACACGTAATCTATTGAGATTCGGGCCTATCGACGCCCAGAATCAAGGAGTCCAACAACGTCTACAGGGTGTGGTGTTCCCAAATGACGCTACTATAGAAGGCAGGTATAAAGTATCATTTTGAGCCTGTAATAGAGTTTATACTATCATGTCTGAACTGAAGGACCGTTTTAAGATGACAGAGCTAAAAACTAAAAAGACAAGAGAATAAAGACGGCCTTAATTTTTAAAAAAAGCGCTTGGTCATTCGTGTCCGAGCCGTACCACAGTACGGATTTCTCTGGAACATCGTTACGCTCCTCGTGAAATATACGCAGCTCACCAAGTTCTCGTGAAGTTTTGTTTCGGAAGTCCAAACATGGGTCATCGTCAAGAAATTAATAACCGTGACGTCAGCAATGCTGCAGCAAAGCTTTTAAAAACATTCCGTCAGCGTTTCTCCTCTGTCATATATTTTATAGTAAAAAAAGCGTGGAGTGCATGGTGTTATTAGTTATAAACATTTTTCTGACAGATATGAGTAGAAGAATTATTATTTCAATAATATCTTAAAAAGCACCCCACGCTTTTTTTAAATAAAAAATATATATTTTTTACACTATTTTCAATTTAAATGTATTAAAATTTATTTTCTATTTTTTAGTTAAATTTTATATAAAGCGTGTTTTTTAGTTTTTTTAAACTATTATTTATTTTTAAATGCAAACATGTGATTTATTCAAATTGCATCAATTTTTTTTATTATTTTGTATATTTATCCTTTTTCTCAATATAAGCACTCAATATTTTTTTATTCTTTGTTTTATTTACGATCTCTGTGACTTTTATTGTAGCACCTCTAATATTCCTTCTATGACTAATTAAATCCAAATAGACAACAAATACAAACAGTAAAAAATTATACAAAAATAAACATGTTTGTAATTTCGTTTGATCTGAGACTTCCCACCTCAGTTCACCTCGACTGTTTACATGACTGGTGCTTTTACTATTATTTACCTTAAGTATATGCATTTTGCTACTTCGCGATTTCACAATTAGCAACCAATGGCGTGACTACAAATTGTCGACATTCCATGTTCATGGAAAAGTACGCAATTGGCGTTAAGTGCTAGCACTGCAACGCCGCTATGCCGCTCAGGCCGGGGCCCGCTGGTGTCGCTTCGGTACTGACATCGTCCAAGTCCACTCATTACTGTCTTAGTATCAATTAATTGTAATAATTAAAACTTTGATAAATAAGTTAATAGATTTTTGGTCTTTTGTTAAATATTACGGCTGTACACTGTACATAACTGGCGCAGTCGGTAGGATATTCGAAGCAGTGCGCGTCGCGGTAAAGAACTCCAAAAAAAAAAAAAAACGTTAATTCTACCGACTCTGTATAGTCGCTGCTCGCGCTATCAAATCCATATCTAATACCCGAATCGTGAAGACACGGCCGGCGCTGTATATGGAAATCGATTCGCGAGAAGATCAAGATGATATATTTTATGTAAGTACTTGAACCTTCTTTTTGTGTTGCTTTCTTTCAATCCGAATACAAAATTTTTCATCAGAAGAATTACGGTGATTAGTAGTAGACAGAGAAACATCGATTTAAATATGAATTTAGGTTTTAACATAAGTGACAAATTAGAAATGGCCGTAGACCCAGATCAAATTTACAAGACCCTTCGCCCAGTGCCAGAGTTCGATGGCAACCCCAATATATTGACTAGGTTGGTTAGAATTTGCGACCAAATCGTCGCACAATATGTAAAGACAGATCCTGGTAATGAATTGAATAGCCTTAGTTTAATAAACGGGATATTAAATAAAACAACTGGCCCTGCCGCCAGGAGCATAAATGCGAATGATTGCAGTACTATTCCGATAATAAGCCACATTCCAACACTACCTGCAGCCGCTGCCACGCCTGCCATTCCTGCTACTCCTGCTACTCTAAGTCCTGTATCTCAAGTCGCTGCTGCATCACAAGCTTCGCCTGCACAACCTGCTGCTGCTGCTGGCTGCTGTTTTTCGACACAAAGCAACTGTGGAAGATGTGCCAGAGATCGATTCTCAGACACCTACTATTCCCTTGGACTATTTTTACATGTTTTTTTCCCCAGACGTTAGAACTGATATTGTAGAACAAACGAATGCGTATTCAGTGGAAAAAACCGACGATCGATTGAATTAGTTGTAGACGAACCTCGAGATTTTCTGGCTATTCACATCCTCATGGGGGTCGTGTCCATGCCTTCATATACAGACTATTGGAGTCTGCAATACAGATTCGGTTTAGTTGCCCATAAAAAGGTACCGAAAAATTCGAAGATAACTTCATTTCGTCAACAATAGCACTTGTCGCTCGTTTAGCACAGCAAGCTAGCCAAAACGTCATACCAAAACATTTACTACTACCGGCACCGCGAGCTGACGAGCATTCAACAATATTCTTAATTTACCTCACAATAATCATTATTGGGACAAGATCCTTCCTTTTCGAGAAAGGTCACATTCATACATTCATCGCAGAACAATCACGACTAAAACATTGTAAATTATAATTAAAGCAAGTAGCAAGCATTAAATTGGTTTTATTATAGAAGCAATAAAGCCACAGTGTCTCGCGTAGACACACTGATAATAGTGACAGATATCACAAGAGTAGGCCCATAGCTGAAAAAATAAGAGCAAATAATATAAATATAATAGTCAAAGAGTATAATAACAAACATACTCTTTGACCACTTGTGGACAATTGACTTCAACTTTTTGTTTGGCCTCTTTGCAGTAACGTTTGCTATGCTATGGATGGTGTAAATTTGGCGGATGTGCTCATCTCGCTATACAGAACTCCTTTCAAGACACGACGTTGGTATATCGGCATATTTGCCCAGCTGTTTGATATATGAATCAACAATGCATGGCTATCTTACAGAAATAATTGTGCTAAAATAAAAAAGGCTATGCCCTTGAAGGCTTTTAGGTACGAAATTTATGAAGGACTCAAAAATAATAGATGTGCTGTGATTGACCCACTCGACATCAAAAAACGACCACAAAAAGCGATACAGCCAGTTGAGACGACTGTCGTTTGCAGCAAATGCCAAGTCCGGTTATGTTTCGTTACCGGAAGTAAACCCGAGAATCGTCAACTAATTTATCATTTTCAAAAACGAGTAAAGTTTCTGAGTTTACTTCCAGCATTTATTGCCAATCAGTGTTGCAGAGCCATTATAGTTCATTATACCCGCTACTTTGCTTTCATAATGTATATCCATCAACTCATTTTTATAAAGAGGTTTGATTTACGTTTGTTTTTAATT